CAGCAGGGACCTTCACAAAGCTCAGCATGGCGTCAGAAGGTCGTCTGCATTGATAAAAGGCCTTTGACGTCCGTGTATTTGCTGCGGCTGGTTTTATGTAATTACTCCAAAAACTGTCACCACAGTATTTCTATATAATATCCTTTCTTTCTTGATCTGCTTGAAGAATACACGTTCAACTTTATCCCAGGGAAACATGTGCTTTTACTCGAACAGAGACACACTGGGAAAACTTGGCCTTAAGTCTACTGCGTACGAGAATCCAGCACAAGTCTTCACTCATCTGTCTCAATACATTTTGATAAGAACAAAAACATTTTAATTTTCATACATTTTGTTTATCTGTATTGTATTTTCATATAAGGGATTCCGAGCTGCAGTCATTTGGGGAGTTGTTGGCATTAGCTGACTGCGACTCTGAAAAATATGCTCTCAAGCTGTGTGAATTACTGCCCAGGGACTATGGACAAACATTAGTTAGTCAAGGCAAGTTTATTTGTATAGCAAAGTATATCACAAGGCAACTCAAAACGTACATAAGAAATGAAACAATCACTGTGATCACAGTCACGGCAGGTGGCCAGTCCCTGTGCTCCTCCGAGTCCTAACAGGTGGCCAGTCCCTGTGCTCCTCGGAGTCTGAGTTGGTTCATATGGCACTTGTTGCTCCACGTATGTAATGCAACCGGGTGAGTTGTTAGCATTTCGCATTTAGCCTAGCCGTCTCCTTTGCTGCAAGCGGAGCCCCTGTGGAGTAGCGCCACATTTTATTCTAGCGATTACATTTGCTAAACATTCCTATTGCTCCGGCTTCAATTTCTTGATAGAACCAGACCGGATTACTTTACTATCGCATTTTTCGCCATTGCCAAACTACAACCTTCCCGTTCGACGCAAACTCTAAACGTCGCCCACAACTAAATACAACAGCTGCCTTCCGCGCTTGCGGATTCTTCGGTCGAAATTCAACCGATTTTAATCGCAAACCCAGGGACCAGACCCAGACGTTACATGCAGTGAAATGATGATTGAGCGGAGTGTACGGATGGCTAAGGCCAGGCTAACTGTCGTGATCTTCCACACTATTTTATACTGTAGTGTCAATAGCTGCTTAATCTGCTGAAGTCGAGGATGCCTGGAAAGATGTAGACTTCAATTTCATATATTACAATCGGGCTTAAGTGCTTTAGGAGGCTTTTCTCACTGCACTCCGGCCATTACATAATGTGAGCGGCAGCTTAGTCCAACAGATTAATGTTCATTTTCACTGCTTTAGACTCATCGGAGTTTGCATCGTTGCTTCCACATCAGCCGCTCAGAGGTCAGTTTTTGTGGGCGCGAGCTTCTAATAATAGCTGCAGCGATGTGACCATTCAGGCCTCGCCGACCACAGGTTTGCACCCAGGACTGAAAGATCAAAGTTCAAAGTATTGTGGGACCCCATTTCTAAGGTTTGCAACGCTTTTCGGGAAGTCAATTTTTCACAATGAACCGCACAAAAATATTTAATGTATTGGATATCTGTGGAGATGTGAAAATAAATAAAGAAATACAATTTACTGCTGTTAAATGTTGAATTAACCAGTGCCAGGTCCTTCTTTAGTCCCTCTTTGTCCTGGTTCTATCCAGGTCGAACTGGTACTTAAGTGTTCTGAGTGCTGCTCGGAGCCATTGTTACCAAGGAATTTCCCCGGATACTGGTTGGCTGTGGGAAGCGTGCTAGGACCTGTTACCTTATTATTATTATTATTATTATTATTATTATACTAGAGCCTAATGGAAACATCTCTCGCTCTACTCTACCTGGTTGAGTAGAGCCAAGTTGGGCTGGTGGAAACGGGGCATATGACTTCAATATTTTTCAGGGGCGGTTAAAGATTAGGTTGAGTCATAATTTTCTGATGACTTGTAACCTGAGATATCTCTTCTTTGCCTTGAAAGGGGTGCAAAGAGATGGAATCCTGTCAAACTTTGTGTTTTATAGATGTGTGTTGAGCAGCAGAAACATGGACCTCCTGCTGAATGACGGCGTCTGATTATCCCTCCATATCAGAGACGAGAGACAGAAGGCCTTAGTTTTAGCCACTTCATCATTTATGGACATTGGTCATCTGCCCCTTATGGCTCTGGGTTTTTATCGTTGAATTTCTTGTGTTAAGCTGTTGATTCTCTGATCTGTGTTAGCAAATTCAACTGTTTTAAGTCCTCCGAGATAACTACTGTTGGGATGTAGGCTGTACAAGAATACATTGAATTGAATTTTTTGACAAGCCTGCTCTATTGCAGTTTGTGTCACTCACCGATCAATACTGTTCTAAGCAAGTCTGCAAACTTCCCATGGATGGCACAGTCACTGTAAATGATAAATATTGATCACCAAAATGTTGTCTATGCCGAAGGGCAGTGCATGTTTGGTATTGTGTCTTTGTGAAGGTGACGTAACTCTGCGTAGTCATCGTCAGACTCCAGATGGTCTGAAGAGACTTAGAGCAAGGATCATTGGCTTTGCTCCAGCATCAACCTGCGAACGAGCTTTCTCTCTGTCCCTTCAGCCCTACTTGGTCTCACTCTACTTGGCTCTACTGTACTTGTCTAGTATTTGGTGCAGTATCCCGGCTTCCTACCCACAACGAACCAGTGTCTGGGGAAATGCCCTGGTAAACATGGCTTCCAGCAGCACTCTTGCCAATATCTGGCAGTTAAAGCACCAGCTCGGGCTGGATAGAATGCAGGTCAAGAGGGACTAAAGAAGGACCTGGGGCCGGAAGAAACTCTGCTCAGGGTAGAGCAGAGCACCATACCATACCATACTACACCGGGCACAACTGGGCTAAAGATGTGCTCTTGATTGTAGATATTGAAGTCTTATTTTCTACTTTACTTACAAGGAGTCAAACAAAATATCAGTTATCGGTCACCAGCTATATTGTTTTCCTTTGTTTCCTTTTTAAACCCTCACCTTAAAGACCTTATGCCGGGTTTAAAAAAAAAAATTGTGGATATCAAAATTGCATGACAATGTCAATCTGAAATAGATTCCGGCAAAAAAAAATCCTATATTTTATAAAAAGAACGTGTTTTTCATGAATTTAAGTTGTCTATGCTCTAACCTGTGTGTGACGTCACAGCGGGTAACGCCCATGCATTGAAAACCATGGATCTATGCCACAGGACTGCCTTTTCTCTCTTCTCTCCACTGATGCCCAACACAATACTGCACTCTACAGGTGACAATTGCTCACTACACATAAATTGCCGTTTTGAGAGTGAAAATGTGTCTGAGGTGGGATTTGAACCCTAGTATCTTGATAGGCAGTCCATCGACACAACCACTGGACTATCTCAGTGACAACAAAGAATTACAGTCTAGTAGTAATTTTAGACTCGCTGTACACGCCCTTGTCCTCTTGAATATCCGCAAAAAAAGAACAAATACCAAATTGTAAACCACTTAAAGCGTTGAAACGTACCCGTTCTGACGTCACCAAGGGCTGTGAAGTTTTTTCGTCTCTAAGGGCGTTGCTATGGGGTTATTTCGATTTGGGGGGATCAGACAAAAAAAACAACTGATTTTGAAACCTTTAGTAGTTCTCTTCTAATATAAAATGGTATTAAAACTGTATTTCTAAATAAATCAAACCCGGCATAAGGTCTTTAAGCCAAACTTTTTCCCAATTGCTAACTAGCGTTAGCATTAGCACCAACCCCCTGTGTATTTGTTGATACAAATCCACCTGGCATTGTCCAGTCAAAGCCCATAGGGACTGACCTCTGTTACTAATAGAGTTCACTTTATATGTCTTTGCAGAGTCCTTCCTCTCTTTAGTTTGTCATTATTTGATGAACAACTAAGAGATTAAAATAATCTTTGCTACAAAGAGGGGTTTATGAAAAAGCTTGTATCCATTTCTGAGCTCAGACTCAAACATGCCCTTTTAAGTCTTTACAATGTGTTGTGTAAATAATACCCTGACAATAGATATCATTTGATACACAACAGGCTGAAGGAGTCACCGCTGGTGGGAAGTAGGAGGCCTCAGGGATTTATTCTTTCATGTAGTGAAAGTTGCAGCTTTGAGGATTTAGAGGGAGTTTGCTGCTGGGATCAAAGTGTCCACAGGTCCGCATAGTGTCAGTTCAACAGTGGTAGAATGCGGTGTGTTCTCACTGAAATCCTCATTCAGAGTTCATACCAATAAATGAAGGAATCTGCACTTTTATATTTGATTTATGATCTACATATTTATATCTTTGTGTTTATTGTAAAACAGTGTGACAGAGCTGCCCGGCTGTACCTTCAGATAATGGGTACCTTCAGATTCAGATTCATTTTATTAGCCATGTGCAGTATAAAAACTACATTGGAATACATTAGCAAAAAAGGTACTCTGTGTGACAGAATAAAGAGCACGATACACTGTAATATAAAATACACATACACTGAAAATAAAAGAATAAAAAAACAGCTGACACTGTGGCACCGATACAAGGGGTAAAAGCAGGAATTAAAGTGCTCTGTTTAGGAGCCTAACAGCCTGTGGAAAGAAGCTGTTAGCATAGCGAGATGTCTTGCATCTCAGCGACCGATATCTTCTGCCAGAGGGAAGAAGCTGGAACATGGCTTTCCCAGGGTAGCCAGAAGAGTCATGGTAGTTCTTGTTTATCCAATGACAGAAATAACCGTCCGCAGACTGTTGAAAGGACAATAACATTAAAAGGCTGGTAATAGAATGTACACTTTTGGTTGCAGTCCTATTACTTACTGTCCGAAAATTATACCCTTCATGTATTAAATTCCTGATGGTTTCACTGCCATAAATGTGTGATATTTCTCTATTGCACTCCTTCTGCTATGAGCTTGGTCTGCTTATACCACGCCCTGATCCAAGACACTGGCGTTTACCAAATTATAGTCAAGTCACATAAATAGTCTCGGAACTGTTTGTCCAAAGTCCTAAAGAGCCCTGTGTGACCCCCCCTCCTCTCCTCTGCTCACAGACCATGCTGACGGCCATCTCCATGAGCGCAATCGCTACAAACGGCGTCGTACCAGGTAAGAGTGACCTGTGTGGGAGGAGGCGCCTCAAGAAACTAGTCAAATATGAATATAAAAGTTATATTTGGTCACAAATGTACCTCAGGTCACATGCAGCTCGTTACATTTTCCGACTGTTTACAATTGATTTGCCAAGAAAGATGATGATTCTGATCTGTGTTGGTAAATGGAACGCTGTGAAAAGTCCTCCAAGATATCAATTGTTGTGATTTATGGCTATACAAAAATACATTGATTTGAATTGAGTTGAAAGATGATGATTATCCTTGAAGGGGACATAACCCTGATTCTGTTGTCTCAAATCTGTTAATTTCTGACCTCTGAATTGTTATTCCTTATTAAACATATGGTTCATATAAAAAGCTCAACTTTGTGGTTTTAATCCTTCGGTCACAATGGCCCGCCATAGACGATTCAAAGTAGAAGGAAAATACCCTAAATTATGGTCTAAAAGGGTCTAAATGATCCAGGGCTGGTCAAGTTATACAAATATTTTAATCACTGTGGCTGCTCAATTTGACCCAAGGGTAGCACAAGGGTTTAAAGGGGCTGGTAGTCAGAGGACTGAGGGGAGAGCAATGGCAACACGAGTGTATGAGGATATACATCGAATAACCTAAAAACAGCGTTGAGCCTGTATTTGACGATAACATGGACAAAAGCTGAGAGAAGTTGATTTTTCGTCCCCTTTTAATACAACTTGAAACAATCTGCTCCTGAAACAGACGTATTTCAAACAAACATCACCGAGTGTTTTGGACTAAGTGTCTCACAGTAGTGTAAAACCGCTGTATTGAAACACAAATATAAAACATGTTTATGGTCATGTTTATGGTATGGAGGTCAACTTCAGGCCCGCGAGCTATATCAGGCCAGCAAGATCATTTTCAGTGGTCCCTAAAAGGATTTAACATTATTATTGCAGAAGTGTGTCCGTGTGTGTGTGTGTGTGTGTGTGTGTATGTGTCTCTTGTCTCTGTAGCGTCTCTGTAATGTGTGTGTCTGTGATGTCTTTCTGTTGTGTGTGTGTGTGTGTATATTGTCAGTGCTTGTAACGTGGTTGTGTTGTGTTTCCTCAGCGGGGGGCTCCTACTACATGATCTCGAGGTCTCTGGGGCCTGAGTTTGGTGGAGCGGTGGGCTTGTGCTTCTACCTGGGCACCACGTTTGCAGGATCCATGTACATCCTGGGGACCATCGAGATTCTCCTGGTGAGGAACTCTTTTATTTCTCCTTTTAGGCTCGTGTGCTCACACTCTGTCGGTGACCTCTACTCAAAGGAGCATTGTGAGACTTTTTATGAGGAAAAACTAGGTATTCTTACTACTAATGATGCAGGAGGGACTAAGGTCAGTGATGATCCAGGACAGTTCTGCACATTTATTAACATTTCTGGACAGTAGTCATCCCGCTCCCTCTGGACCAATGTCCTCTATATGTGCCTTAACTTTTGATCATGTTTGTGGCTACAGCAATGTTTTTCAACCAGAGGGCCTTGGTCTGTTAGATGGTCTTGAGATTTTCTTGGATTTGCTTCTGGAAATGATCCAATATCACCTCATTGTGAAAAGAAAATTATCTGAGGAGAATAGACTGTTTTGAGCTTTTTTTTGTTTTCTCTATGATACACTTTAGTCCTGTTTTCAGCCAGAGTCCGAGTTTGTTCATATTGCGCTAACATGTCTCACACACACACACACACACACACATACACATAAACACACACACACACACACGTGCAAGCACACACACACACACACACACACACACACACCCTCACTAACTGAAGAATCTTGTCTGTTTGGACTTGTATGTGACACCCAAGCGCTTAATAAGTGAATAATGTTATTCACACCAATAATTGTATAAATGTGAGTTGTTGTGTCTTGCCTGGGTTTAAACTCAGTGTTGTGTTGCAGACCTACATAGTGCCTAAAGCCGCCATCTTCGTGGCCGAGAGGAAGGAGGACCAGGTGGACGCTCTGCTGAACAACATGCGCGTGTACGGGACGTGCTGCCTGGTCCTCATGTCTCTGGTGGTGTTTGTGGGAGTCAAGTATGTCAACAAACTGGCCCTGGTCTTCCTGGCCTGTGTTATCCTGTCCATCCTGTCCATCTACGCCGGGGTCATCAAGAGCGCCATCGAGCCTCCAGACTTCCCGTGAGTCCAGGACACAAGCTTTCATCTTAGTTTTTTTTATTTGTATTATGGCTGAGCAATTGTGGCGAGATATTAGTTAGTTAGATACTTTATTGATCCCTGTAGGAGAACATTCAGGTGTCCAGAAGCGGCAAAAACACATCCATCCACCCAAACAAAACAAATGAATTGATGATTCTAAAAAACTAACAATAGTAATAGTAAGAAACAGCACTTCAGGTCACAGCAGCAGAGCTGGAGCAGCCGCTTGGTTCAGACCATTTTCTCTGCTCTAGTCCAAAGTCAAATGCTAAATGATTCATTAGCATTTTTCAAAAAGTTTGCCCCCCTCCAGTGGATCATCTCCTGATCCACTTGTTTCGGACCATGAATCCTCTCTGCTCTGCTCTGGACCAGTGTAAAACCATGAACACTGTTCTGCTGCAACATCTCAGGCAGAAAAAAGCAAGAAAACTAAGTGTAAAACACAAAACAACTGTTTCAGAGACACTTAGGACTCCAGCACGTTGAAAAGTAAAACATATTTCCATTGAGAATTATTCATTTTACGTCTCAAAAATGTTGCAGACACAGTTGTTCTTTATTTGTCTCTTGTCGGTTTCTGATAAAAAACGACCTTAGCACATCAAAAACAAATGGAACTTAAGAGTGTGATTCTAAAAGGTGTAAGGATAACATTTTAAGGACAGTTTATCATCCCGCTCCCTATGCACCAATGGCTGCTGTGTGTTTGTTATTATTGCATTTCTTGTGTTTGAACTGTTTGATTCTCTGATCTGTCGTTGGCAAATCAACACCTTTGTGAAGTCCTCCTTTACGACTTCACAAAGTTGCTGTAGTGATTTAGGGCTATACACAAAAAGAGATGAAAGTAATCCAAAAAGGTTAGCCAAACTTTGTGAAATGACAGCAGCGTATCCTTCATGTAGATGTTTTATTCTCTGGAATGTGTTTGTTAAATCTTGTAGCCACATTTTAACTCCACTGGTCCTAATGACATTTAATTTCTTTGCGATGATAAGATGATATGAATTTGTACCGGTATCTGTTTTTGGACTGAAACATTTCTGGCATGACCAGTGGGGGCGGGTCCCGGTTCAAAAGTGGTCAAAATGACGTGCGCTGACATGCTTGCAATGCCACCCTGGGCCGATGGGGGTGGACCCAGAAGAAGAATTAGCTAAAGCTAAAATAGCATTCTTACCTCTCAAAGACACCTATTACAGGATGGTCCAAAAGTTGGCTCTTGGCCCAAAGCTCCGTTACACATGTGTGTCAATGCTGAGGGGAGTGAATTTTTTTGGACCAGTCTAGTTTAGTCGCTGTGGAATTTTGAAGGCACTCGTTTACATGAATGGAGCTCGTGCCGGCTGACGCATGCGCAGATGCGTTTTTTCACATTTTCCAGCCCCCGCAGCCATTTTCAATCACTCAATGAAAGCCCAATTTTTGGCACATTAGTTAGAACGCCGGAGATAGGCGGGACTACATCCGTTAATATATACAGTCTATGGGCATGACACAGATAATTAGTTAAACTTCAGGTAAAAGAGTAACCAAAACCATCCGACCACAGATTTTTCAGCCCAAAATGTTGAGTGTGACACAAACGGTTACTGAGCTAGCTAAAGTCAAATTTGACAAATGGAAGGCTCCTTATTGGTCAGGCGTTTGGGCTCATATCCGACTTTGCAAATCCAATATCACAATGTAAACACCAGGATTGAAGAGGGCGCTAAACCATGGATTTTTTAAGCAAATATTGGTGAATGTGACACAAATGACTTATTACTTTATTACGGAGCCAGACGAGTTTCCTTTTCAATGTTAGTCAATAGGAGCCAGAGCACTTCCCTATTTGGCTTCATTGTGCTAGCTGGTTAGCATTGTCCATCTATATTCAGTCTATATGAAGATACAGTATGTGCCTCACAGACTAATCCACTCATTTTCTATGGTTTTTGGGTTTAAAAAAAAAATGTGTGCTGACTTTTGCGGTTTGATTTTTTAGGGTGTGCTTTCTGGGGAACCGCACGTTGCACAACCAGAAGTTTGACAAGTGTCTTAAGACGCAGGAGGTGGACAACCTGACGGTGACTACGCAGCTGTGGGGACTGTTCTGCGAAAGTGCGGATCTGAACGCCACCTGCAACAACTACTTCAGCAACAACAACGTGACCGAGATGCAGGGGATCCCAGGGCTCCTGAGCGGCGTCATCTCGGGTGGGGCCTCACACACGCTCACACACACGCACACTCTCGCACACACACGCTCACACACACGCACACTCTCGCACACACACGCTCACACACACAAGCTCACACAGGCTTTCACACATTCTTGCACACACACGCTTGCACACGCTCATACACAATTGCACACTGTCGGACACGCTGGCACACATGCTCACACATGCTCATAAATGATCACACACGCTTAGAACACACTCACATACACTCACATGCAGTCTTAACGTACATATTTTTAGTGGTAGGGGAAGCCGGAGCACCTGGACGAAATCGGAGAAGACACAGGGAGAACATTAAAACACAGAAAGACCTGGAGGTGGAATCAAAAACTGGAATTAGTAGTTGAAAGTAGATCTGTATCAAGGGTTTTGTCTCTGAACTGGAACTGTCTGGTCACTCACAGTGGCAGAGGGCTGACTATAAGAGACGCGCAATGCTAACTGGACTTCTCATACTGTATGTGTCTGTATTGTCATCCGTCTGAATGACATAGTTTAAAAAGTGTTGTTTTGTCTTCTTAGTAGATAAAGTTGTTCTACACCAGACAAATGTAAGATAGCGATGTTATTGCCTTGACATGTTTGGACAGAAAACTTCCGCTTCTGAGATAGCTCTGAGGTAATAACATCACCATCTTACATTGGTCAGGCTGAATGGCAGTCCGGCTGGATGTGTTTGTGCCAAAGTGGGTGTTTGATTTGGACACAGTGATAGCCGTGTGTTGTGCCAGGCTGAGGAGCTAAGTGGAGTTTGCAAATCATGGTAAAACAGATCTCTGGGAATCTCCTCAGCTCATGTATTCTGAGCAGACGTGGACTGAGGCTGGTCTCCAATGGAGGCTGTTTATTTCTATTGAAGCAAATTGGCTAAGCTAATTCATAGCACAAAAATCCTGGGTTTGATTCACGGTTGGCACAGGGCCTTTCCTGTGTGGAGTTTGCATGTTCTGCCTGCGTCTGCGTAAGTTTCCTCCAGGAACTCGTAGGTTTCCTCCAGGTGCTCCGGTTTCCCCTACCAATAAAAAACCCCTTCCACTTACACTACATAAACCTATGTATACTGTGTTAATGATTCTTCTGTATTTTCGTTTTTTGGAGCTGATTCGTACAGTATGTGTATTTTGTTTCTTTTTTATGTTTTTAATTGTGAAGCGCTTTGTGATCCTGGTCTGTGAACAGTGCTATACAAATAAACTTTACCTGCATACTTACTTGTAGAGTAGTTCAGGGTGTTTGTGACTGTGGAACAACGGATGGAAAGTAGCCCCAGGAGGGTTTTAGAGCATCTGGTGTTCATGAATACAAACTGTCACCCAAATTAAAAACACATGAAATAAACTCTTAAGGCGCTACAGTTGTTCAGAAACTACTATCATCAAAACCAAAAGAATATAAACAGAAAATATGTAAGAAAAATGTAGGGAATTGTATGTGTGAAGCCAGGTCGCTGTATAGAAAGTTTCCTGGATTCAACATTGACATTTAACCATGTTACAGCGTTGATCCTCTTCAGCAAAAAGAGACCTGCAGTTGTTATTTAGATCCATCCATGCTGATATCAAGAACTTCTGCTGAAAACCTGTAACTCCGCCCCTTCTGTCTAAACGCTCCTTAATCATCCTAATAGTTGGATGTCATAGTGACAGTATGACATCACTTTTCTCACTTTTGAAATTAAATAATTAGTTTTGACAAGTGAAATTACATACACCTCCCTCTGGTGATAGCAGAGGAGTAGAGCAGCTGATTAGCAATGTTTAACTTTCACACATTTCACCATATATTCCACGTTCTGTGTTGTGTGTGTAGAAAACATGTGGTCCGCGTACGCTCCTCTGGACATGATTGTGGAAGACAAGAAGCTCCAGTCGGTCCCTTCTGCAGAGTCGCCGCAGGACATCTACATGCCCTACGTGGTCAACGACATCACAACCTTCTTCACCCTGCTGGTCGGCATCTACTTTCCCTCCGTCACCGGTAAACTCGTCCTCCTGTCACTACAAAAGAGGGTTAGAGGGTGATTTCTCAGAAGTGGGAGGAGACTAGTCCCTGTGCTCCATATGAGTTGGTCACAGATGTACCTAGGTGCGAGAGACTTGTACACAAGCAGAGCTAATCCTTGTCCTATCCTCGGCTAAAATTGTGGGATTAAAAATTACTCTAAAGAATTATTTTAGCTGATTTTTTATGATTTTTCCTGCCTTGACCAGCCCATGGTCATTTAGACCCTAATTCAGGATATTTTTAATCTTCCTTTAATCACCGTAGCAGGTCACCTGAGGGTAGCACAAGGGTTAAAGTCTATTCTGAGCCACAGGAAGCCAGTGCAGAGACCTGAGACCAGGACTACTTCCTGGTTCTAGTCAAGACTCAAGCTGCTAGATACTACAGCTGTTCACATCTCATTCGGAGAGACCTGTGATCAGGCCGTGACAGTAGTCTAACCTACTGAAGACAAATGCAGGATAAGAATCTCCAAGTCTGCTTTAGACATTATTTTTGCTCTTACCTTACCTCACCTTAGAAAGTATTCAAAAGATTACATGAATTCTAGTAAGATGAAGGCAGCATGTTGTGGAGAGATTTGCTCATATAATCTTTCTATTGGATCAAAATGCATATATTTATGTTTGGGACCCCAGATTTAACACCATAATTATAACTAGGTGCAGTTTTAATGGGACACTGCGACAGAGTATAGCTTTTCTACGTACACCGCAATCAATCTCATACCCATGGTGTGTGCAGGTATCATGGCGGGCTCCAACCGCTCCGGAGACCTGAGAGACGCCCAGAAGTCCATCCCCATCGGAACCATCCTGGCCATCGCCACCACCTCCTTCATCTGTATCCTTCTGCACGCATGTCTGTGGATGAGGAGCTGTTAAACCAACATTGTCCCTTCTATGGAAGATTTTTTTGTATCATCAGATTTTGAATTTTTAATTAGGTAGAATTTTTCCATTTGAAATTTGTAACCATGAAAAGTTTGAATATTTTTCTCACAGAAAAATCAGTTTTAAATCTCAATGTGATTAAAATTTCAAAATGACATATTTGATTTTAAAATATTCTATGTTTATTTCCGAGCCCTCAAATTCAATGCACAGTAAAAAAAAAAACATCTAATTAAAAACACTATGAAATGGATAATCAGTGACTGACATTTGCAGACAAATATATTCAAGATGTTTTTTCTCAGTGCATTGATTTTGAGGGCTTGAAATCAAACAAATAATTTGAAGGTGAATGTCATTTTGAAATTTGAATCACATTAAAATTTGTAAACTGAATTTATTGTGACTGAAATGGAATGACAAAAATATTCATGCTTTTTCAGGGTTAAGCATTTTTTATGGAAAAATTTAGCTCCGTCCAGGCTCATATACTGTATGAATGTGAAGAAATCGTTCTCAACATTCTTCTGAAATGTAATAACGTGTAATAAAAGAGCAGTGGTTTGTTGGGCCTTGACTCATGCTCAGATGTGACGTGTGTGGTGCTGTTCGGAGCCTGCATCGAGGGTGTTCTGCTGCGAGACAAGTAAGTCCTCTTCTTCTTCAGTAAAAACTCTGCGGCTAATAGTCATAAAGACACTATTAGAACTAATAGCAATAGATATACAGTATGTATAGGTTTAATGATTCAGATGCTGGTTTCTTCATTAAGACGGTGATATTGAGAAGCGGTTGTCAATGGCCTTGTCTGCAGGTTTGGGGACTCGGTGAAGGGGAACCTGGTGATTGGAACCCTGTCCTGGCCGTCTCCGTGGGTCATCGTCATCGGCTCCTTCTTCTCGTGCTGTGGGGCAGGACTGCAGAGTCTGACCGGAGCCCCCCGCCTTCTGCAGGCCATCGCCCGAGACGGGATCGTGCCTTTCTTACAGGTCACACTGCCATCTTTGTAGTGTTTTTGTTCTGAAGGGGAGAAAGTAGCTAGCCTAAATGGGACCGCTTTGGTGTCCCAGGCAAGACGAGGTCGTGCTTTTCACCAGCTACAATGGCCCCGTCTACCTTATTTTGTGACTCAATAATAATAATTACCTCGCTCCTATCTCCTGTGTTGCCTAAAAACAACAACTGTAAAGCCCTTTGTGAATCTGTGAAGATTACTTACTACTTACCTACTTACCTTTCTTACAAGTCCCGCTGCCATCTTTGGGTTTTTACTAGTGCTGTCAGTTAAACGGGTTACTAAGGCCGTTAACGCCATGTCATTTTTACTGGGTACATTTTTTATCACATGATTAACGTTTATTTTGGTCGAGTTCCCTTGAAGTTGCTCGTATGCTGTTGCAACTACAAAAAATAGCATGGCTTTGCTATAACACTAAAAGCAGTGCACCTGTAGCACATCCATAAAAACAACAAAAATTAAATACTGTAGTAATATAAATGAATACATACAAAATATGACAGTAGCTCAGTTGGTAGAGCATTGGCCTTTGGCCTGAAGGTCATGGGTTTGAGCTCACCACAAGACCTACTTCACGACTCCCACTGATGACTGCTGTCGTTGTGTCCTTGGGCAAGACACTTAACCCCACTTTGCCTGAAGCCCCCACTGAAAGGGGCTGGTGCTATGTGTACTGGGTGCAGCTCTGACTGACACCCCCCTGACCCAGAAATGGATAAAGGGGAAGAAGATGGATGGATGGACATACAAAATATATTAAGCCTTCATTCAACAGAACTGTGTGGTCTCATATCAGTGACAACACTCATATGGTGTGAGTTAGATGAGTGTTGTTTACACCTATGTCAAATCTGCTGCTCATGTCCAACCAGCAACTAGAGAAGCTCGGCCCCTGACTCTCCGTGGACACCAATTCAATTCAATCAAATTTTCTTTAGCCCTATATCACAACAGTAGTAATCTCGGAGGACTTAACAAAACTGTTGATTTGCCAACACAGATCAGAAAATCAAACATCCTCTGTATAAAAAGCACATAGAGCCATTGGTCCATATGAGGCAGACGACCAATGTCCATAAATGTGCCAAACAGAGGAGTCTAAATAAATGAATTATGATGATGTTGAACTTGACTCTCCTCTGCAGGTGTTCGGTCACGGGAAAGCCAACGGAGAACCGACCTGGGCTCTGCTGCTGACCGGGGGTATCTGTGAGATCGGCATTCTGATCGCCTCTCTGGACAGTGTGGCCCCCATCCTCTCCATGTGAGATCCTTCTTTTTAACACAACACTGTCAGATCTTAATTTTGATCTATAACTGGGGTCTCCAACCTGTAGCTCGCAGCCCCCTTCAGGTAGCTCCCAATGGATTAAAGACCTTATGACGGGTTTGATTTATTTAGAAATACAGTTTTAATACCATTTTATATTAGAAGAGAACTACTAAAGGTTTCAAAATCAGTTGTTTTTTTTGTCTGATCCCCCCAAATCGAAATAACCCCATAGCAACGCCCTTAGAAACGAAAAAACTTCACAGCCCTTGGTGACGTCAGAGTGGGTACGTTTCAACGCTGTAAGTTGTTTACAATTTGGTATTCGTTCTTTTTTTGCGGATATTCAAGATGACAAGGCCGTGTACAGCGAGTCTAAATTAACTACTAGAATGTAACATTTCGTTGTCACTGAAATAGTCCAGTGGTTGTGTCGATGGACTTCCAATCCAGATACTTGGGTTCAAATCCCACCTCGGACACTTTTTCACACTCAAAACGGCAATTTATGTGTAGTGAGCAATTGTCACCTGTAGAGGGCAGTATTGTGTTGGGCATCAGTGGAGAGAAGAGAGAAAAGGCAGTCCTGTGGCATAGATCCATGGTTTTCAATGCATGGGCGTTACCCGCTGTGACGTCACACACAGGTCAGAGCATAGACAACTTAAATTCATGAAAAACACGTTCTTTTTATAAAATATAGGATTTTTTTTGCCGGAATCTCTTTCAAATTGACATTGTCATGCAATTTTGATATCCACTATTTTTTTTTTAAAAACCCGTCATAAGGTCTTTAAGTACATGATCCTGAATGATTATATTTGGAGTCATTACATTTCTCTTTAAGTATAAATGTGGGGAACTACAGTAGTAAGGTGTATTTTACATCTGTGTCCTCCATGTTTTGTTATAGTTATTATATAGATTATATATTGATGTATTATAGTTATTATAAAGATGAGGGACAGTGGCTCTGTGGACACTCAAAGACACTTCACATGTCATTATGAAGTGGTTATTACTACAGTAGCCACAGGTGCCCTGGGGCACACTGACACAAGCGAGGCAACCAGTATGTGCCATCAGCCCCTCTGACCACCACCAATCATTCACACACACACCAGAAGAATTCTTGGCAATGTGGGTGAAGTGTCTTGCCTGAGGACACCACAGCAGTTTGGCACTTTACAGCCGCAGCTGCCCCACTGTGGCACATGGTGTTCCCAGAGGTCTCCCATTCCCAGAGGTCTCCCATCACAGTACAGTCAGCCAGTAGGGAACGAACAACCATCTGTGATAGTTAATGGCGAGAGATTAAATGAAGTTAAACAATTCAAGTATTTAGGAGTGCTCTTTGATTCAAATCTAGATTTTAAGCAGCATATCAAGAAAATTGCACACATCATTAAATTCAATTTGTCAAATTTTAAGCATATAAGACCATGTCTGACCACAGAGTCTGCAAAGGCTTATATGCATGCAATGATCTTTAGCCATATAACGTACTGTCAAACCACATGGTCCCAAACATCAGAGTCCAACATGAGCCCTATCAAGTCTCTCTTTAAGAAAACATTGAAAACTTTGGATAGAAAGCCTTTACATTATCATTACTGCCACATTGTAAGTAAGTATAATATTTTAGATTTTGACGGCTATCAGAAGTTCCTGGATGCCTGTTTAGTTTTTAGAGTTTTAAAAGGTCTTGCCCCTCCACCATTAAGGAATTTTATATCACAAATAAGTAACACTCGAGTAAATACCAGAGCGCTGACCAGAGGAGACTGTATTGTGCAACGTCGTAGGACTAAATTCAGTCAAACGGTGGAGTCTATCAGAGGCTCGCAGTTTTGGAACTCGCTGCCTGTTCATATCAGGAACTGTGACAATTACCACACCTTTAAAAAGGTCCTAAAAATCTGGTTAAAAACAAATCAATCTTGCACTCACAGGTAGTTTAATTAAAGTTCAATGCTTAATCAATTCTTGGGCGTGTTATGTTATCTTACCTGTGTCTGTCCTTGTAACTATGACTGTAACTTTGTGCTGTTCTCTGTACTACGTTTGTATTTTCCTACTGTCAATGTTTCTTTTCCTGCCTTAGGACAACGGATGCAATTTAGCTCTCACGCTAATTCTGGTACATTTACATTGATGCTTTTGGCTGACGTGTTGATTAATGTGCACTGTCCTAATTCAAATAAATAAATAAAAAAAAAAAAAAAAATAATGAGGCCCTGCTCAGTTTAGCTTCTGTGGTCTGACGGGATCTGGCTTCTGAAAACCCACAAACGTTTGTTGTAAACGTCTCTTTCAGGTTTTTCCTCATGTGTTACCTGTTCGTCAATCTGGCCTGTGCCGTCCAAACGCTACTGAGGACTCCCAACTGGAGGCCGCGCTTCAAGTACTATCACTGGTGAGTGTGAGAGCTCTGTGTATACGGCTCCAGGTGAATGTAAAGCAGTCAGTCCTCAGAGCTTCAGGTGGATACGTGTGTGATGTGTGCAGGACTCTGTCCTTCCTGGGCATGAGCTTGTGTCTGGCCATCATGTTCATCTCCTCCTGGTACTACGCCATCGTGGCCATGGTCATTGCAGGCTGCATCTACAAGTACATCGAGTACAGAGGGTAAGCATTCAAAGAGCTCTCACTTATGCTACACACTCTTTAACACTTATTATTCATTATTCCAAATATGGTTTAAACTGTCCTTTTAAACAGAAGAGAGTTCATTTGTTCTGTTTATTAATCTTTATCAAATGGAAGAGATGTTTCTCTAATCATCTTGACACGTTTTACCGTTCATTTTGACAGAAACAGACATAGATTTATTAAGTAAGTTTATAAAGTAAGCTTTATCAATAAAGCTTACTTTATAAATAAAGTAAGCTGTGTTATTATTATAAATGTGCATTCTGATTGTTTGGATCCAAGTCCATTAAAAGGGTGTTTGGTTAAAGCCTTGATGAATGCTTTAATCTGCAGAGCGGAGAAGGAGTGGGGAGATGGGATCCGCGGCCTGTCTTTGAACGCAGCACGCTACGCTCTGATTCGGCTGGAGGACGCTCCACCGCACACCAAGAACTGGAGGTCTGTCTCTGTCTCCCTTCTGTGGCCCCTCACTGCAGGTCCTCACTGTGGCCCCTCACTGTGGGTCCTCACTGTGGCCCCTCACTGTCAGCTTCGAGTAAAGGAAAGCGTTTTGTTTTTGTGTGTGTGTGTCTGTGTGCATCCAGGCCTCAGGTGCTGGTCCTGTTGAACCTGGACTCGGACCAGAACGTGAAACACCCGCGGCTGCTCTCCCTCACCACGCAGCTGAAGGCAGGGAAAGGACTCACCATCGTGGCCAACGTCATGGAGGGAACATACCTCACCAAGGACGCAGAGGCCAAGAGGGGAGAGCAGGTAACACACACACAAACACCCACACACACACACACACACAGAGCGTTGTAAAGGTTGATGAGAAAACAAGAAGTAAAGATCTCTGGCCTGTGACGTCGTATTGGAAAGTCAATGAAGTATCAATCAATCAATCAAAGTTTATTTGTAGAGCGCCTTTCATACACAGGGCAACACAAAGCGCTTCACAGTCCACATCACAAATCATCACATAAAACAAACACCAGAATCACAATTAAAACATTAAAATCACACAAAAGATTAAAACACAATTAAAACAGTAAAATCACACAAAAGAATAAAACCATTAAAACTTTCAAAATTACACAAGAAATTTAAAAAAAAAAAATAAATGACAGCAGTGCATTAAAAATGGAGATAAAATCCTTCAGTTATATGCACAGGCAAACAGAACAGTCTTTAACCTGGATTTGAACATTGACAGAGTAGACGCCTCCCTCACATTTTCAGGGAGATTGTTCCAGATCTTAGCTGCATGGATCTGAAACGCAGCCTCCCCATGTTTGGTTCTCACTCTGGGCACCAGCAGGAGGCCAGTCCCTGTGCTCCTCAGAGTCCGGGCCGGTTCATATGACACCAACATGTCACTAATGTATTCTGGTGCAAGGCCATGGAGAGACTTGTACACAAGCAGAGCCGTTTTAAAATCTATTCTTTGAGCCACAGGAAGCCAGTGCAGAGACCTGAGGACCGGACTAATATGGTCATACTTCCTGGTTCCTGTCAGGACTCTAGCTGCTGCATTTTGGATGTACTGCAGCTGCTTACAGGTCTGTTTGGACAGACCTGTAAGCAGGCCATTGCAGTAGTCTAGCCTGCTGGAGACAAATGCATGGACAAGAATCTCCAAGTCTGCCCTGGACACTATATTTCTAACTTTGGCAATGTTCTTCAGATGGTAAAAAGCTGTTGATGTTATTGATTTTATGTGGCTATTGAAATTTAGGTCTGAGTCCAGTATTACCCCCAAATTTCTGACCTTGTCTGAAGGAAGTAGGGAGAGAGACTGAAGTTGACAAATGACGCCCTCTCTTTGTTTCTGGGGACCAAAGACAATGATTTCGGTTTTGTCTGCATTTAGCTGGAGGAAATTATTTTGCATCCAGTCACTGATCTGTTGGATACAGTGAAGGAGCAAATCCAGTGGTCCATGTTCTCCTGCAGTCAGTGAGACATAGATCTGAGTAGTCGGTTGAATGCGGGAGTGCAGTGACTGCAACATTTTCATTGGGGAAAATGGTAGACTGAGATTTAATCCTTTTCAATTATTTTTTGTATAGCGTTAGATCACAGCAGAGGACAACTGATCAGGGAATCAAACAGTTCAAACTCCGAAATTCCACAATAAAAAACTCGTTGGAGCCTTCGATGACCACTGTCATAAATGTAAATACTTCTCCCAGATAATCACTGTCCTTAGATCCTCCTTAACTTCACCTATGCAGCCCTAAAAGAGCCCACATGTCTATTCTGCAGCCCTCACCTCACAAACACCATCTTCAGAAGGAGCAGCGACTTGAGGTGAACCACAGCTGTATGAGACACTGCCCTCTGCTGTTCAACCTGAGACATTAGAGCTCTCCTCAGAAAATTCATTACACACATATAAAACAGGTTCTTATGACTCACAAACCTGTCTTTTTGGAGCTGACCTGAACTTGACAAAAATAATTATTTGCTAGTTTGATGTGACAGCTTTGTTTGTGCTGACATAATGTTGTTACCATTGAGTTCCATGGCCTCTGTGAATGTTGATGCAGTCGATCTTCTGCTCTTTGGTCGCTGACACTTGTTCGGTCTGTGCAGAATATCAAAGTGTGCATGTCGGCAGAGCGCACCAAAGGCTTCTGTCACGTGGTGGTGTCGTCCAACCTGCGTGACGGAGTATCTCACCTCATCCAGTCTGCAGGCCTGGGGGGCATGAAGCACAACACGGTCCTCATGGCCTGGCCCGGCACCTGGAAGCAGGCCAACGATCCCCAGTCCTGGAAGAACTTCATAGGTGAGAACTGGGACCCCACCACACAGATTTGACTGTGTTTAGTTGAGTTAATATACTTTTTGTTAGTACTGGGCAATGAATAAAACTTGTGTTTGTAGTTAATAAAAAAAAATCCAGAAAGAGAAAACACAGTGACTGGGGGTATATACTGTATTTTTTATAAGGATTGGTAATTAGACCCCGGCAGAAATACTGCATATCACATGCAGGAGGAAATTCAATAGAGATTGTGAGCCTGCGACCCCCCGGTAGTGAAGGAAGCGATAACATGATGATTCTCCACAGGTGGAGATGGGAGGAGGGGGGTTGCTGCACAAACAAACAGCTTGATGCTGCTTGACTGAGGGGCTCTGTTTAAATGGAGAGAAAGAGGACTCAGTATGGCTTGGAACAATCAATCTCTCAATCTTCCAGTCTAAATTTCTGCTTTAGCTGCATTTTTTAAAATTTGTGTTTTATATCTGGCCTAATGTTTGGATATTGTGTGGTATGCATACAATGACGTGATATGGCATGTGTTTGCAGAGACGATTCGTGAGACCACAGCTACACATCACGCTCTGCTGGTGGCCAAGAATGTGGACAGTTTCCCCACAAACCAGGAGCGTCTGGGGGAGGGCACCATCGATGTGTGGTGGGTGGTGCACGACGGAGGCATGCTCATGCTGCTGCCCTTCCTGCTGCGTCAGCACAAGGTCTGCCTCACACATCACTCTGGTCCAGTCCTCCTTCTTCCTCTGTTGACTCCTTGTCTCTTGGAGCAGGTGTGGAGGAAGTGCAAGATGCGCATCTTCACCGTGGCCCAGATGGACGACAACAGCATCCAGATGAAGAAGGACCTGCAGATGTTCTTGTACCACCTCAGGCTTGACGCAGAAGTGGAGGTGGTGGAGATGGTACGGGACTCTCTCTTTGTACAGTTTGGTGTGAGAATATGGACTTTTGTCTCAGTATACATGCAGACCTCTCTTGACTCAGTATACAGGCAGACTCAGACCTCTCTTGTCTCAGTATACATGCAGACCTCTCTTGTCTCAGTATACATGCAGACTCAGACCTCTCTTGTCTCAGTATACATGCAAACTCAGATCTCTCTTGCCTCATGCTAATGTTCCGATCTGCTCCTCCACAGCACGATAACGACATCTCGGCCTTCACCTACGAGAAGACTCTGGTGATGGAGCAGCGCTCACAGATGCTCAAGCAGATGCAACTGTCCCGGACAGAGAGGGAGCGAGAGGTGCACTGACACACTCACGCACGCATACACACTAAACTGTCCCGGATAAATGGGTGCACACACACATTAACTGTAGTAGTGGTTCTCAGTCTTATAATATTAATTCATATTTTTCAACGATTTAGACACTCTCGACTAGTTTATTTTCAAACTTTTATGTATTCTTAAGAACAGAAGTTTCTACAGTTCTTCGAGTCCTGGATCACCAGCAGAGGAGAGGCAATATTTTCACTTATTTAGCTTATGGGCTTGGAGCGTAACATTGTACCTCGGATGAAGAGTGTATCTTGTTGGTAATGTAGGAGCAATGTAAATGTCCTTGATGTGTCTAAACGGGGCTCTCCTTGTTGACGCTGCATGGGACTCAGATTCAAAGTATCACAGACGAGTCTCGCAGCTCGATCCGGAGGAAGCAGCAGCAGCCGACCGCAGAGCAGAGCTGCAGCCTCAGCCACAGCCGCCACTCCTCCACAGCTGACGACAACCAGGAGGACGAGGTAGAGCGGAGAGCACCCCCACCCTCCCCCCAGGCCTGGAGCTCTGACTGTGGTCACCCAGCTCGTGCACACACACAAACGCGCACACGCGCACACACACACAAACAGCTCAAAATCACAGCAATCTGATACATGGCTTTTTTGCTATTAGATTCTCTGCACACAAAAATGGGCCTGAATTTGATTTTCTGCTCAGATCCATGAAAATGTTGAGGGTTCATTGTTTGCCACACACACACACACACACACACACACACACACACACGTGCAAACACAAACGGGGCATTGCTATTAGGGGCTTTGTGATCACAGTCAACCCACCCCTCTGCTCCTCACCTGCCCTCCTCCTGAGACCAGCCCTAGAGCCACACCTCCACTTGTGCATGTGACATCACTCCTGCAGAGAGCACCCTCTGTCTAGACTAGAGCCTCCAGTTCTTTGTCACTGACATGAACCTGTTGGTGTGTATTTAAATGCTATAACATCATATGTTTGTACGCCACACTGCTTCTGCATCATAGACGCACGCATGCTGGACCTGTGCATGTTCTCTTCTTTCAGATACATTTACTGAAGTGGTCTTTTCATCGTATTGTTTTATAACCGGCTTCATAGTCCTTAGGATGTGCATCGCCTGGTATCTGCCAATTTGTATCACCATATGCAGTAGATCCGTTTTGATGAAATGCTGCACAGATAAGATTTAAAGACTAAAAAGGGAGTCCAATGTTTATTCAAAATGTCTGTACAAACACATTTTACTGCAAATACATGGAAAAGATTGGCTCTTGGCTTGTTATATGTGTTCAGTTTCAATTACATAATCTTTTTTGTTAGCCCTAAATTTCAGCAATAGTTATCTCAGAGGACTTTACACAGCTGTAGATTCGCCAGCACAGATCAGGGAATCAAACCGTTCAATCACAGGAAATGCAATGATTAAAACACATGGAGCCATTTGGGGCGGATGACCAATGTCCATAAATATCGATAGATGTCCATAAATGTTGTCGAACATCCTGGATCATCACCACTGTCCTCAGAACCTCCTGCATCGGCGAGGAACATCTCTAAAAACCAAGTGGGAGAACAGTGAGAAGATTGTGAATTTTTTTATTTACTGGATAAAGCAGATGCTGTATGTCAAAAAAAACCATGGCCTGGGGATGAAATTTGGTCATCGGAGCATTTTTCTTTGTGTAAATTTACCCAAATGGCCAAATACAATGACCAAAGACAGCACTTTCATTGAGACTGGCAAATTCTTGAATAGCCTATCTCGCATGTTGCTTAGAGAAAGGTTAACACTAAACCAAACCCTAAGCCAAGGATAAATATCTATCTTTCATTAAGCTCAGTTTGTGAGTCACCCATTCTGTTTGCGGTTCAGGCCCAGCTGATCCATGACAGAAACACTGCGTCCCACACGGCCATCAACGACAAGGCCGAGGCCACTCCAGAGCACGTGCACATGACCTGGACCAAAGACAAGCTGTTCACAGAGAGGAGACACCGCGAGTTCAACGCCAACGTGGCCGTGAGAGACCTCTTCAACATGAAGCCGTACGTACACCACCATACATACTGTGAAGGACCCATACATACTGTGAAGGACCCATACATACTGTGAGAGAGACCCATACATACTGAGAGAGACCCATACATACTGTGAGAGAGACCCATACATACTGTGAAGGACCCATACATACTGTGAGAGAGACCCATACATACTGTAAGGGACCCATACATACTGTGAGAGACCCATACATACTGTGAAGGACCCATACATACTGTGAAGGACCCATACATACTGTGAGAGACCCATACATACTGTGAGAGAGACCCATACATACTGTGAGAGACCCATACATACTGTGAGAGACCCATACATACTGTGAGAGAGACCCATACATACTGTGAGAGAGACCCATACATACTGTGAGAGAGACCCATACATACTGTAAGGGACCCATACATACTGTGAGAGACCCATACATACTGTGAGAGAGACCCATACATACTGTGAGAGAGACCCATACATACTGTGAAGGACCCATACATACTGTGAGAGACCCATACATACTGTGAGAGACCCATACATACTGTGAGAGACCCATACATACTGTGAGAGAGACCCATACATACTGTGAGAGACCCATACATACTGTGAGAGAGACCCATACATACTGTGAGAGAGACCCATACATACTGTGAGAGAGACCCATACATACTGTAAGGGACCCATACATACTGTGAGAGACCCATACATACTGTGAGAGACCCATACATACTGTGAGAGACCCATACATACTGTGAGAGAGACCCATACATACTGTGAAGGACCCATACATACTGTGAGAGACCCATACATACTGTGAGAGACCCATACATACTGTGAGAGAGACCCATACATACTGTAAGGGACCCATACATACTGTGAGAGACCCATACATACTGTGAGAGAGACCCATACATACTGTGAGAGAGACCCATACATACTGTGAAGGACCCATACATACTGTGAGAAAGACCCATACATACTGTAAGGGACCCATACATACTGTGAGAGAGACCCATACATACTGTTAGAGACCCATACATACTGTGAAAGTCCCATACATACTGTGAGAGACCCATACATACTGTGAGAGTCCCATACATACTGTGAGAGACCCATACATACTGTGAGAGAGACCCATACATACTGTTAGAGACCCATACATACTGTGAGAGAGACCCATACATACTGTTAGAGACCCATACATACTGTGAGAGTCCCATACATACTGTGAGAAAGACCCATACATACTGTGAGAGTCCCATACATACTGTGAGAGAGACCCATACATACTGTGAAGGACCCATACATACTGTGAGAGAGACCCATACATACTGTAAGGGACCCATATACTGTGAGAGACCCATACATACTGTGAGAGAGACCCATACATACTGTGAGAGACCCATACATACTGTGAGAGAGACCCATACATACTGTGAGAGAGACCCATACATACTGTGAGAGAGACCCATACATACTGTGAGAGAGACCCATACATACTGTGAGAGAGACCCATACATACTGTGAGAGACCTATACATACTATAATAATACTCAATGTCCATTTTTTTAAATGATTTAATTTATTTTCTCATTGGGCCATGAGATTGTATACATGTTATTTTGTTAAAGTTTAAATTGTATCAATAAATATTAAACATGAAAATTCAGATACCTCAGCTTTAATACATCTACAAGTGATAAAAACATGTATCGCATGTTGTGAGTGTTGTGTGCATAGACACTGCTGGGGGCCCTTAGAGCATGTGCAGACTAACTCATCATACTGTCTGTGCACCTGCCTCCGCCCCTCCACACACACACACACACACACACACACACACACACACACACACACAAAAAAGCACATAACTAATGGCGTCCACTGAGTTTTGATGTCGCAGTTTTCAAACATTAACTCACCGTCGTCATATTTGTAATATATTCCAGATTGATTTGGTATTAACTTCTTTATTAGACATTACAGAACTTTCCCGATTAACACAATGCTTGAAAATTAGTTGATTCCTAATCCATAATCGGATCATCAAACCAACGTCTTGTACTATTGTCTCTATTATAATCGTCTCACAAAAGTATATTGGCCCTTCTTCAAAAACAGACTGTTTTAGCCTCATCCACGCTAATACCATGGGTTACAACATCCTCGTCCAATGCTCCACTTTGAATCTGCCAGATCCTTCAGACCATAGGTTACATTTTTCTTGGTTTTAGTACATGTGAAGATTTGCAAATGGGACAAAAAATGGGACTTTAAATGAGAGATCACAGCTTGTCCCATCGGCTAAAACACAGCTAAATGTACTACCTGTATATAGTGTTGCCATGTATACAGACTGAGCTAATTTCCATTTTTTATCTCGTTTTATATTTAATGGACAGGAACAGTCTGTGTATAAGAGCATAGGACAAGCTAGTACCATCCATGTGGAGGAGTGTGTTGGTTGTGCCTGGGGGGCCGGGGGCCGTGGAGCATGGGACTGCTGTAGAAGCTGTAGAAGCACTAAGGCTGTTTGTTTTGTCTTGTTTCTTGTTGCAGAGAGTGGGAGAGCCTGTAAGTTATTCTCTTTACTCCAGTACCATGTCTGTCTGTGTGTGTGTGTGTAAGAGTGAGAGACCCCCACTCAGCAGCACAGTCAACTAAAATCCCTATTCATACTTCTCACACCAATTTGGAGAAATCCACGTATTCAATATGAACTAATATTCAGTCCTGTCTGCAGTAAAGTTGACAAGCTTTGGTAAATCTGCAGTTGGAGCCTCCATGAGAGGGCTGAGAAGGAGTTTGAAACCTTGTGAATCACAGCAACAATTTAAACCACTGGCCTCAGTGTTGTCATGCACTAAAACAATAGAAATGTTTGCCATCTGCTGGATGTTTGCAGAACTGCACGCACAATTTTAATGACGCCAAGTCATAATAAATATCAGCTTTTTCCCCAATTTGACTTTTCAAAATATACTGGCTAAGACATGGATATTATTAAGCTTTGGTTTGTTAAATTTGAACTTCTCTGATGGTATATGGAAGCAAATATTAGCACTCTAGGGTTAGGATTATTATGGTATTGCGCAACTTACAAATTGGCTAAAAAAACAGCTAGAATGAACTATGACTATGGACTAATCTTTGTGTGCCTCAGTAAAAGTAACATAGAAAAAGAAGAATAGGAGAGCTAACAGTGGGGTATCCAAAAGTTCAGTTGATGAAATAAATGGAGGAGCTTTCATTGTTTAAGGCATTGTATTGAGTCAGAGAGCAGACCCCAATGGCTGTGCTGCTAAGTGTCACCAGTTCATCTCACCTTTGACCACGAAACCATCTGTGTTAGAAGCAGGGCTGAGACAACTCTACAATCTATCACATGTAGCGATTGCCAAAAAGCCTCCATTAATCTGAGCATTTTTTTTATCTGTTGCACATCGCATGAAAATATAGTGTTTGTATAAAATATTAATGTTTTTTTCTAAATTACATCAATTATTTGGAGTTGCGTAATGTACAAAATGCATTACTTGATTAATAAAAAACTCTACTTTCTAAAATAATCTTACAGTTAGAGACTTGGCACCGTGTTGATCTGTAACTTATTCTCAAGTTTCCAAAGAACGATTAATCATAGCCTTTGAATGAAAAGTTTCCTGTTGGTGAAATGAACTGAAACCTGGGGGAGGATGTGACCTCGCCGAATGCGTCTCATTGCTGTGTGCTTTTGTCTTCCACACATCATCTGCTTTCCTCTAATTTCATAAGCAACGCTATATTTAATGTTGTTATGCTCAACAATTGGTGATCAACTGTCTTTAACCATCACTAACCCTCTCGCCTGAAGCCTCAGCACCTCTGACACTTCATGGAGAAGGATCCACCGCTCTATTGTCTATTGGCACAGAGGAAATCAGAGACTGCTTGTGCTTTGTGTGTCTTTCTACCTTTGTACTAACATGAGCAAACGAGACATCATTTTCTCTATTGGTTCGTACATATTAAAGGGGACATTCAGTAAACTTTTATGATAGTTATTCCTTGTCATTTTGTGCAGTCCTTGGGTCAAATTGCTGCGCCACAGTGGTCTGAATATAATCTTTTTGTAGCTGAATGTTGACGAGTTTCTCTAACTTGACCAGGTAATTTAAACCCTGATGTAGGATTATTCTACTTTTAGTCAATGTGGAGGGTAGTTTTGACCTGAGGATTGCACTGGGGTTATTATTCTTCCTCCTCTTCTACCACATGCCGACTGAGTACGTTTACAAAGCACTGTTGAAAACCAAATCCACTTTAATTTGCTTGATAAAGACTCATGTAAACTTGTGCGTCTCAGTTGTGTGTGTTCGACATGTTTCTAATGCGTATGTAACCACGGAAACAGGATCCTTCTGAGACAACAGGCAGTGATGCGTTTAAGAGCACAGAAAAAAGCCAGGCTTGTTCTGGAAATGTATGTATTTGGACAGATTTAGGCGAATCACTCATTTTGTTCAGGATCAAGACATAGTTCTCGCCGCACACTTAAAGGGCCCATATCACGGTTTTTGATTTTTCTCTGCTTTAAACATGATTACAATGCTATTTGGCCTTCATACACAAGCCCACAGTAGTTTATTCATTGATTCTGTCAATCTTTTGTAAGAGAGCAATCTGTCTCCTTCCCCAGCGTGAGGCACAGAAACGCTCGGGTCCACTTCAGTGACGAAAACCACACTGATGACGCACATGACCCCGTTTGCTTTGTATTTAAAATAGTTGTTAAATACTTTTGTCAAAACGGGGGAAACAATACACAATTAGTATGCTGTTTTTTGTCAAAAATAATAAAAATAAATTAAAAGCCGGCGGGAGGTGATTGACAGATCAAAACAGCGAATCAAAGCGCACAGGCTCCAGCTCCCGAGTCCAGCGTCTGTGGTCTGGTCTCGCGGACACCACATAGAGCTGCTGTTTTTATGCTTTTGTCAGCAACTAAAAGTGTTAGGATCACATCAACTTGAATGAAGTGTGTTATGGGTGTAAATATGTGACACACTATTTGGCCCTAAGAGGAAGAAAGCGGCTCGACTTTTTTCATCTGTTCATCTCATGGATCTATTATAATACCGGTTCATCTGCGACACTTCACTGAGACTGTTCCAGAACTACAGGGACAATGGAACTGGACTTACTCAAAGGCTGATCTGGAAACACGTTATTCCCACGGTAAAAGACGTAACTCGGACCCCCTCGATCTGTAAGTAGTGACGCTAACTCGCCGTATACTTCTGTAAACTAAATAACTAGGGTCTGATTGTGCATCGAGGACATAGGGCTCCATGTGACGGATTGTCATTGTTGGAAAAAGTGTATTCTTATGTATGAAATTACTAAGTACAGGTGATAAACGACAAAAGCGTGATGCTACGTCAGCGTGCGGGCGGGGGGAGGCGGGCTCACAGGCAGAGGAGCAGACTCTTCTCTGGATCAGCTCGTTTGAGTCGAGGTGACGTCACCTCTATACAAGAGATGGCTCTAATCTCACAAGCTTTGATTGTTGTGTGGTGTATCATACACATTAATATCACACATGTGCATAGGATTGAGTGGGAAACATGAAGAAAAGCGTGATATAGGACCTTTAACACACACAGCGCTCTTAACAGTTTACACTAGAACTCCCAGAGCAGTCAATTTGATGGCATAACTTTGATTTCTAAGTAGGTAATAAAAGTGCTAAAACGTATTGCAACTGTAAAAATGACTTAATTTTGATAAAGCTAAAGGAAAACCTAAATTCTTCCACTGATTTGATTGAGAGTCTGAATTCTGAAACTACTAGAACTCCCAACACAGTCATTTATGCTGCTGCAGTGGAGTATATAGAAAATCCATAGACTTTATACAGATGAACAATGCTAACCCACTCACTTAATATAGCCCAATAAGGAAGTGCTCATGGACAAAGTTGGGCTCCAATTCGCCCCAGCTCCTATTGACTTGCCTGTGGTTTAGGGCTCTCTGTGATCTGGTTTATTATTACTGTATGAGCCATAACAATTGACCAATCAGTAGCCTTCATTTGCGGAGAAAACTCCAGCTTGCCTTAGCAACTGTGTTAGCAACACATTAGTTTGCATTTTCCCCTGCTCCCATCAACGAGCTGGAAAATGCATGCCCATGTAAGGAAATTGACTCCATCGTTGTCCATATTCTTAAACTTTGTAAATGCACTCACTGTTTGGATGGTGGTCATCTGGAGGTGGAAGATATAATTTGAGTTGTTTGAATTTCTTGCACAAAGTTGAAAATTATGTCTCCTTGTTCCTTGTATTCGTCCAGTCTTCCTTTTACAGTCACTTTATCAGAATTCAGAGTCTTTTAGAGAAAGTTTGTGCCTGTTCTCCTCCCTTGGACCCTGATGGCGTGTCTCCATAGGAACCAATCCAACGTGCGGCGCATGCACACAGCGGTCAAACTGAACGAGATCGTGGTCAACAAGTCCCAAGGAGCCCACCTGGTGCTGCTCAACATGCCCGGGCCGCCCAAGAACTGCGGCGGAGACGAGAACTGTATCCTTCTCAGAACGCTGGCCGCTGGTTTGTGCGAATTTGTGAATTTGATTTAAACGTGAATCACAATCAGGAATGACATCATGTATTTACATTTTTAAGCTCCAAAGAAACTAGCTTCAGAAGAGATGTGTAATCTGCTCAAAAAGGAAAGAAATCTGAGATTGATTTAATCTTGAATTGCTCTTATAACATATTTAAAGCTGCACTAACTGACTTTATTTTTGTATTCATTACGAAAATGCTATCCATGTCCATGTAGTGCATTGGGATATACGTCCTTTTGAAGAAAAAGTAGTGCAGATTTGTGCTGGCGTGACATTATATTTTAGATCGAGTTTTGATGAAACAAGGAAGAGAATGTGTTTCGGGTCGCGGATTGTGACCAATCACAGTGGACCACTAGCCCCCACTTTTGTGAGAAATCTACAGGTCCGTTAGCATAGACTGCTGAGTTAGCACAACAAGCCGAGGAGCTAACCTGAAGCTTTGTGTCTTCGTCACCGGTTACTGCTTACACAGCGAGACAGCCATCCAAAAGAAAGCCCCGTTCCTCCGCTCTTCCCGGTTCTATCGTTCTATGGTCACGCCATCCACGTGCAAATCCATATTCGTGTATTATCCATATTGGGAGACGCTAACTCCGTCCCAACAGTGGGTGTGTGTGGGGGCGATAGCTTCGTGGGTGCGGGAGGGAGCAGGAAGAGAGAGGCCAGAGAGTCCGCGGCTTCAAAATCCCAAAGTCTGGCTGAGTTTACACGGAGACAATGTGGCAGTAAAACGGTATAGTTGGATGTCGGTTCCTACCAACCGTTCATACGGAGACTGTGTTTCAGGGGGGTGAAAATGTAAGTGTTCAGATCCAGCCTCAGAGTGGGACAACTCAGATACGCTGCACAGCGGGGGCTCTTTCACACCCGCGAGAGGGGAAAAGGTGTGAAATCCCCCTCTGCTCTGACCCCCGCCTCCGCGCTGCTCCCCGCACGTACATTTGGACATGCGCAGTAGCGGAGAACCAACATCAACAACAATGGCGGCGGTCACACTAACTAGCTACGTGGGCTTCCAGCGCGGCACAGAGGATAACTCTACTCCTTCGTTCGTCCAAACGAGACCACGCAAAGCTCTAGGTTCAGTTTCCATTTTCACAGCTGCTGTTAAAATGCAGAATGATGTTGGTACGTTCTGAGGGTCTGGCACAGGAAGTGAGTACACTGCCGAGAGGGGGGCTGGGCACGGGGCTGGGGGTCGTGTGAGTGTTGTAAAGTTTCTCTGCCCACTACTGGCCGGGCGCTAGAACTACATCGTTTTTCAACCTCATGTGAACGCAGAGAAATTTGCATTAGGAGCCAGGTCGTTTCTGTTAATAGCCTGGAAACGTCTGCGCAGCGTCTCAGTATAAACAGGGCCACAGTTAGTGCAGCTTTAAGGTGATCAAAGGTTGAAAAATTCAACAAAGGGAATAAAGGAAAGGAGCTGTCTGTTGGTTTGTGGTAGATCTACTTTGATGTGACTGTGTTTATGAGACTACACACTATTACGTCATAGATAGATCAATACTTTACACACTATTTCGTCAGACCATCCATCCATTTTCTTCCCCTTAATCCATTTCTGGGTCGGGGGGGTGGCAGTCAGAGCTGCACCCAGTACACATAGCACCAGCCCCTCACTGATCCTCCTGCAGGTGGTTAGTCCACAGGAGCTGAGATCTTTCAGCGGGGTTTCGGACAAGTGTCTTGCCCAAGGACACAACGACAACAGACATCAGTGGGAGTCGGTGGAGAAGCTGTCTAGGTGGGAAACGAACCCACGAACTTCAGGCCTAAAAGCAAATGCTCTACCAACTGAGCTACTATCGCCCTCATCAGACAATATTTGTAAAGTGAACTTTGCCTGCAGTCATGTTTGCTGACTCGTATCTGTTGCTGATTTAAACATTAGTTTTATTTACAATCCCAGACTAATGCAAACGTCTGGCCACAGAGAGAGCTCTGTACAAGCAACATCAGAGACCAAATCTGACCACGTCTTACTAGTTTTAGGATTAGTGTGTTTTTGTCAACTTCAGTCGTTTATCAGAAATCGAGCAATCCAATGCAGTTTATTTATATAGCACTAATAAAAACAACAAGGTTGACCAAAGTGCTGTACATACAAATACTGTACGTACACAAATACACAATTACAAAATACAAAACGGTGGCAAAAAAACACTATTTACAGCAAAAAAAATCAATTGAAAATCAATTAAAAGCCAATGAGAACAAGTGAGTCTCAAGACGAGACTTAAAAACTGGAAGTGACTCAGAGGGGCAGCTCATTCCATTATTTAGGACCAACAACAAAGCAAGCATAAAAAGCTTGAAGGATGGCTTGAAGCTTTTTTGAAAGCTGGTTAAATTATGATAATATGATTAAAGTTTTTTAAGACAATGTTACCAGAGGTCCCACCACCATTTTTCAGTCACAAAAAACTGTTAACCGGTTCAGCAGAGTATTTGCATACTCGTCAATACTCATCCCTTCTTTTATTGGTACAAAGTTAACATCTCCCTAAATACCTTAGACCTTCTCCAGGCAGGCGTTGCAGATTTGCAACAACTTCATTTTTTATTCCCTAACTACTCCACATCCATATTTTTGACCCTTTCTACTCAGAAGTACCTGTACTGGACTTAGATGAGCCCTAGCTACACACAATTTTCCACCTGCTCACCAGGGCGCGGAACTGTCTCACTGCCAAAATGTGCATCTCCTTGGTTTCACCAAAACTGATTTTCTAGGCATCAATTTCAAGTCAGTATCACTATGACTTATTTGGGCTCTGAAAGGGTTCAGTAGTTCCACCTTTAGTGACTTGAAGATCAGCTTTAATTACACATATAATTAAATTTACCAGAGCAGATTTACAGCTATCTTTTTAACTGTATCAGCTGGATTTCACTTCGATACTTCCTATTGTGAAGAATGTGGACTGATGGTAGCGTGTCCTGTATCTGTGCGTTCTCCCTGACCGAGCCTCAGACATGGAGTTCCTGGAGGTGCTGCTGGAGGGCCTGAACCGGGTGCTGCTGGTGCGAGGAGGCGGACGGGAGGTCATCACCATCTACTCCTAATCCCCGCGCTCCCAGCGACGCACACACGAACCTGTTTTAGGGTGCGTCCTGCGGCCTCACGGCGGGGCCCGGACTTGACACTTGTCGTGTTTCTGTCGTTCTCATCCCCGTGTTGTCCTCGTTCAAACTGTGGAAGAAGACTCCAGACCAAGAAGGCTTTTGGACGCGGCGCTTTCTGGACGAACATAAACTTTTCCTTTTCTTTCACATTTTGGAAGCTGTAATCTTTTGTGTTCTGTACGATCAAGCCAGGGTTCAGAATGTTTTGGGAGGTATTTTGAGTGCTTTGAAGCTTAATTGTTGGAGTAACCCACAAAACACTATCGGACTATTTGTGTATTTCTATTAGTAGCTTTTTCCTAGTGTTGAAACTTTCCTTCGGTGTAACTGAATTTGGGTCACGATTGGCAAACAAAAGCAGAAAATGGATTGAAAAATATGACTTTTTACATACAAGGTTATTGAAATGCACAAACGAGAACCCTGACACATATATATAATTGTATTTAAGGTATGTAAGCGCAGTCATGGTACTATATTGTAACCATTTCAGAATATTGCTTGGTAAAACTTCCATTTTCTTTTGGAGGAGTAGCCATATCGTAGCGTAGCTTTTATGAGGATTTTAACGCATTGTGTTGCAAACGCACTCGTAGCTACTTCATCACACGCCTTTGAAAGACGGCACTTGAATTTAGGATCATTTATGTTCGTGTTCCCACTTTAAAATGGTCAAAATAGCGCACAGGGAGTTTAGTCTCGCAGTTCTCGTGACATATTTCACTTGTATGTGGTGGATTTTAGCGCGTAGGGAAAAAGTGCCAAACGGAAACTGTGGACGTTTAGCAAAACTCATGACAATCTATGTTAGCTTAGTTTGAGATGGGTCACGTTGAGAGCACTTTGTATAGGACTGGGGCATAAAGGACAAGAGGGAGGTCACGGTCTAGCTCCACAGTTTCTCACTGTAGTGTTGTGTCTTTGTTCATTTCACTTTTTATGTTTTAGCTCCAGGTTAGAGTTCAACAAGCACGTTTATGATCACGTCTGGTCGTATTTTAGCTGGCAAAATGATGCCAAGAACATTTAAAAAATCTACATTTTAATTGGGCTTTTAGCTGTGTTTTTTTGTACATGTAGCCCCGTTTCCACCAGCCCTACTTGGCCTTACTCTACTCTACCTGGTTGTTTTTCCATTACGCTTTAGTATCTGGTATCGCAGCGGTACCCACAACAAACCAGTATCCGTGGACATTCCTTGGTAACCATGGCTTCCGGCAGCACTCTGGCCAATCACTGTCAGTGAGAACACTTTAGTACCAGCTCGGCCTGGATTGAGCCAGGACCAAGCAGGGACTAACGACCTGGTACCGATTCAATTTGACCAGTGGAAACGCTTCCAATGGCAGCAGAGTAGAGAAGAGTGAAGTAGAGTAGGGCCAGGGCTGGTGGAAACGGGGCTTTTTGCATTTGCACTTCTACTTAGATCAGTATTTCAACAGACGACATCTAATGATAATGTCTCCTTGAAGAATGTTGTAAACATACTTGACTGAAACCCAAACCTGGTCTGTGTTCTATCATTATGTTTGATATTTTTTGTTTCTTTATAAGTGTAACGATGTTTGACAAGGCGTTTTCAACACATCAACTTTTGCAAAATACGTATCTACCCACAGGACAGGTTTAGGTTATATAAATACATCACGAGACCGTACCGCAGAATCAAACTCACAAGTAACATGACATCTGTGTGCAGATGCTCTCCAGTGATGTGAGATTTGTTTTGGTCAAATGTAGAAAAAAACTCTCCTCGGCTTTTCTCTTTTTTTAATTTAGATTTATTTGTCTGTTGTGATGTGACTGGAGAAAGAAATCTACCTCACGGTGTCACTGAGGCTCAACCAATCGCAAGGTTCCATGTGTTGCATTAGGTGTAGGAGGAGGCGGGGCTAACGCTGTGTCGACTGAATGAGGAACGTCCACTTTCAGCTTCAAATGCTTGGACAATACGAGAAAAACTGAGACATGTGTTTGAATCAGGGTTTTTCAGACATACATTTAGGGGCCTCAAACATGCGTAAAAGATATTGTGTGGCCCCCTAGTGGAGGAGTGTGTGTACTGTATGTATCGCTCTGTGTGTATGTGTGTGTGCGCGTTTCTGTGAGTGTGATCTCTGTCCATGTGTAGCGTGTGTGAATCTCTCTAGCTCTCTGTATGTGTGAGTCTCTTTCTGTGTGTGCGTCTCTCTCTCTCTGCCTCTGTGTGTGTTTGTGTGTGTGTCCAGCAGCAGGGCCCGCCTCCTCTCTCACAACAGGAGGTAGATCTGTAAAGTGGAACTGTGCCTCTGAGTAATGATTAAAGTGCTGAGATCACATCTGTCTGAGTTGTGTCCTTTACAGCTGGATCTGTTTGGGGCCCGGAGCCAATGACCCGCAGGGGCATGGCTTTTGAGCCCATTGGTTGTATTAGATTTGTACTTTTACAAAGCAAACTCAAAAACAAATTGAGTTGTATCAAAAATACACACACACATACATATACACACATACTGTATACGTTCTCTGTACTTACACATACTACATGTTTGTTACATAATCAATTAGGGTTCTTAATAGTTTGATCCTTTTGATGGTTTCCTCGAGCTTGTTCCAGAGTCACACCTTTTTGAGAAATGCATCGACTTTTTAATGTGGTGCAAACACTGTACTTCTATTTAAGACTTGTCCTCGCAGGTAATAACTTCTCTGTCAGAGCGACCGGAGCAGGAGAAGACGCTGCAGGTGTTACCCCAGATCTCAGAGCAGAACGTGTACGGCAGGATAAGACTTTAACATCATGTTTGCATTTCATTAAAGGTATATAGGAGGATTTTCTACTTCCGGGTGGATCATCAAGATTATTTCTCCTCCCAGTTGTCAATCACTCTGGTGATACGTCATTGTCAAATTAGACCAGAGAGTTTTGTCCAAAAAGAGGAGAGGGCGGCTCCTGAAATTGGAAAATCCTCCTTTTCCTTGAATGCATTTTTCTCTGATCTTATTTTTGCAGATCTTTGTACTGTCCACTGAGGACCACTGAGGACCACTGAGGACCACTGAGGACTACTGAGGACCACTGAGGACTACTGAGGACCACTGAGGACTACTGAGGACCACTGAGGACTACTGAGGACTACTGAGGACCACTGAGGACCACTGAGGACCACACATTAGAGCAGACGAGTCAAACTCTGGTCCATGAAATAATTTTCGATCATTACCATAGTAACTTGCTGCATTGATGTAATGGATTACTATGGCCTGTTATACTTCATTTTAAAGCATTTTATCTCAGGAAAACAATCATCTAATTGAATCAGTTCTAAAATGCCATCTGTCATCTAATTAGAAGCTATAGTTACTTCATTATTATGGCTTTTTATGTCTAACTATCAATCTTCGTCTTCTTGATGTTTGATCCAAACCTACTTGAAAATAATATTCAAACTCATGTTTGTCAAACGAAGTTATGTTGCAAAAAACAGACATTTACACCACTTAAATAGTTCTGGCTGCTTTAGAGAGTCAGTCTGTGGCTCTTCAGTCTGAGCAATGACTTTGACTGATGACCCTCAAACATGATCCAATAATAATGTCTCTGTGACGTGTGCTCAGACTGTGGCTCAGTTACTTTTCAAAGTCATTGTAACAGTCATCACTGTAAATGATGTATATCATATTTCACTGCATTACACTTGCAGTCTTTGGCCACCAGGGGGCAGTGCCATTACAGAATGTGTTGAAACCATAGACAACGCCACTATCGCCCGCGCTACTGTGTGGTCATTTATGTCGCTCTGTGCTGGATCTATTATTATAACGCTCTTTGCACAGAATATAATGAGCAAGAATAACGGAAGTGATCATTTTAAATTAAACTATAAACAAACAAGGTACAAAAAATGAATGAATAATGTGCAGGTTGGGTATGAAAGCAGTTTTCTTTTATTATTATTTTTTTCATTATGAGGGTATTTTGATATATAGTTGTTTTTTCTCACATTAGCTACATTAAAGTTTTGTTTCTGATTGTTTTTTTGTTTTGTTTTTACAACATATTTGTTGATTGAACCAAAACCAGACCAAATATTAATATATCATTGGAGGTCCGTGGGCCGGAGTTTGACACGTCTGCCTCAGAACAACTCACAACAATAGCTTATGAAGAATATCCATCCATCCATCCATCCATTTTCTACCCTTTAATCCATTTCTGGGTCAGGGGGGTGACAGTCAGAGATGCCACCCAAGTCTCATAGCACCAGCCCCTCACTGACCCTCTGCAGGTGGTGAGTCCACAGGAGGACGGCTGCTCTTTGAGTGTGAGCATAGCCTTGATCTTTCAGTGGGGGCTTTGGGCAAAGTGGGGTTAAGTGTCTTGCCCAAGGACACAACGACAGCAGTCATCAGTGGGGAGTGGAGAAGGTGCAGAGGTGGGAAATGAACCCACGACCTTCTGGCCTTCAGGCCAATGCTCTACCAACTGAGCCATTGTCGCCCTTTATGAAGAATGTGTCTCCTTTAATTTTATTCAGCATCAAACTGTAGATTTACTCATAGATTTTTGTTGTTGATAATCTGCAACTTACATTTTTTAAACCCCACATTTTTTCCAATGATGGAGTCCTAAAGCTTGGGTGGGAAAAGGTGGACGCTGAAATTGACGTTTTAAATGTTGGATAATAAGAATCAAATCAAATGACACTTTGCTGCAGAATACGACAATGGAACACTAAAAACAAGTTAGTCCTCTTTATGTATACAGCACATTTCACAGACCAAGCTCGGATAAAGCGCTTCACAATTCTTGGACCAATATTTTCCCTTTCACGTATAAGCAAGACATATTATTGTGTGTTTTTAGTGGTAGGAATGATCGGAGCACCTGGAGGAAACCACAGACAAGGGGAGAACATGCAAACTCCACACAGTACGGCCTAAAGGTGGAATCGAACCTC